TATGGTGATTTATGCTAGTGACCGCAAAAGATAGATGTAAAGCAACAACCATTCATGCAATTAATGTCCTGAGTACTTCAAGTTCGGTGCAAAAACGCATAATCGCACAGGCCCGCGCGGTGCGTTCCAGTATGGGTTGTTGGCTGTAACAGCGCTATAGCGCTGCACAGCAAAAACGCATAAAAAGGTCGAGTGTTGTTTGGGACAGGCTGACTAGCGGCGCTAAGCACTTTATGCTACTGTTCAAGTTCTTTAAAAGGATGTGAAATTTCGGGATGATAAATGCGCCTTTAGACAGATATACCCTTGTTCTGTGAGCATTTTGACGTCAGAATGTCTCTTCTATTCGAATTTGCCCTCTTTCTAGCTTTTTCCAAGTGAAAGTGCAATTCGATATAACTTCAGAAATGATGTTCCAAATGCAAATAATGCACACATATCACTGCAAATATCACAACACTTTATTTCAGTACGCAACTGAAGGAAGGCGGCTTCACGTGCGTCGTGCATTACTCTTTCCCCCTGACAATCCACAGAATTCGCCTAGTATTTCAGAACTGCTGAATTTAATTCAAAATTGCATGCGCAAAAGTTGCACACCTTTCCCAGTAGATAGCGGTGTCTTACTGCGTCATGTTCTTCTGTGATAGGCCGTTGTTTAATTCGTAATTGAACAATTGCAAAAGTTTATAATGGCCTTCTGATCAGCATAATTCGCTCAACGGTTTAAAGCTGTGGCTTAATTCGTTCTTGAGTTTTATTGAATAATGAACCCAATTTATTTAACACAACTTACACATTTTATAAGAATCGGAAAATTTGGAAATTCCAGCTTATCATTTCTGAAATTTTAAAATTAACTCGGATTTAAATCTAAGATAATTGGCACAGTGCAGTGGGGATTAGAATATGATTCGTAGTTGTTTGATTCGATTTATTTGGAAGATTGATTCTGTTAAGCTTTTCAGCTTCTTTCTTTTTTTTCTGGTTTCCAAGTTGCACCTCTAGCCTAGTTCAAAAATTTAAGTTTAAAGTTGAGTAAACTTAAATCCGAATAAAGTTAGGCCTGCATCCTAACTTTAAGCTATTTTTCGCGAGTTAATAAGTTAAGACCCCAGGATTTTCAGTTTATATTTTCTTGCTTTTGAAGTTAAAAAGTTTGTATGGACTCCAGATTCATAGCTCATGATATAAAGAGAAGTGTAATTGATTTCAGCTCTTTGTTTTGTGTCAGTGATGAAGCTTTAAAATGTATTTTGTCAAAAGGCTGTTCATGTGTCTATTTATATAAATTTGCCCGCACAGTTTGATTTCTAAACCTTCAGAGCTAAGAAGCTAAAATTTCTGCAAATTATTTCACCACTAATTTTTCACGTAAAGACACGTCAAAGGATTTTTGTGGGAGGTGATTTTGATACTCAGTAGACTAAAAGATTGAAATTTCAAAAGGATGTCCCTTGTCTATGTGTAACCCAAAAAATTTAAATCCAGCTTTGCGGCACGCCTACTTCAGCTGTTCATTGCTGATTATTTATTACTACTACAACTAATTATTACTTACTCAGTGCAGCTTCAAATAGCATATCCTTCAGCTTTTTTGTACCGTTGAGGAGTTAACTGTTCGGCCAGAAAGATACACACGTGAGCGCAAGTACGGTCTACTGTAATGCAGTTTTAGTTCCATAAAATCAAAAACGCATACTACGACTGACTTTTTATGGATGTTTTCATCTAGTGTTCGATTATTTTTGCCATCGTACAAATACACATATTATCTTCGCCCAAGTAATTTTATAAAAAATCGTTTTATAAATTATATGTTCAGTAAAAACACAAAAATATGCATTTGGCGCGCTCAGCAATCCCGGGAAAAAACAAGAAAATTTAGCACAATGCAGGGGTCCAAGAGATTATCATATCTTTTGTACGATTTGACTATAAACTTTTTAAGGCCAAGAAGCTGTTGGACGGATCACACCAGCTGCGCATCGACGGTCATCACGTCGGAAGCGCCGGCCACGGCGCTGGTACTATTTTTTCTTTAATTTTCTCAATTATTTAAAGTATTTGGGGCTTATAATGATGGCTTTAAGCATGTGAATCAAATTTCAAATCCATTTTTTACAGTATTTTTTAGTCCTTCAAATAAGTATTCAAACTTTTATTAAACAAAAACAGGTAACTATCGGTTAGCGAGGGATGCACGTCGTCTAGCATTCCAATGAAATAATGGAGTGTGGCGACCCAGAAGTGAAATAAATGGACAGTGTAGTCATTATTTTCATTAGCATGTACCGTCCGTTCCAACAAACCTGTCTTTTGGCTTGAATAAATTTTATTCCCCACTGTCTGATGTAAAATGTTAGTACAGCTTTTTTTCTGATAATCAGAAATCGTTAACGGCTTTTTTTTTGAAAAGACGAGAAACAAGTCATGGTCAAATAATTCTTGTGCTTGTTTTTATGAATGCAAGTACGTATGTACAAGTAATTCAACACACAACTGTGAAAGGCAGTTTTTATAAGGGTTAAAATTTTTTCACTTGCAGCCTTCGACCACACGATCGGAACGAACGAATAGAAATGAAAAATAAATAGAGTTATGTCGAAAAGTAGAGTTAATTTCACCGCATAAGTCGAAAAAAAATCAGAAAGCCTGACAGCGCTTCTTACCTTGGCACGCATCACTTTTTGTGCGTTTTTTCATATTTATGTAAAAACAGAAGCGCTTATTGGCAAAAAGTTATATGTGTGTGAGCATTAGCTTATTGTCGTCTACTTTCAACTCAGCAAACCAACCAACCAGCCTGAAAAGCTAGAAAGCTGAAGCTTTTGGTGCACTTGATATCCCATTCGTGACTTTCCTGTATTAAAATTATCGTTCACACGCGCTTGGGTGTCACATGTAAGCACCGAGAAAAAAGCATGTAAATTTTTGGGCAGGAAAACGATTCCTCGAATCAAACTAGATAGAAAGCTGAAATTTTAAAAGGATGTTCTATCTTCCTGAGTAAGCTGATTTAAAATCCAGCTTTAACGCAGGCTTACGTTGAAGTTGAAAATGTGAAATCGCTTGCAAAATGCTAACTCAGAACCTAGCTGATTAGAATGCTTCAACTTCACGAAAATTTTTATTTCCCACACAGTCCACGCTGGCATAAAATGAGTTTTGGTGTACGATTGTACCATGCGCTCAAATACGTTAAAGATATCTGCAACGAGAAACGACTTCGCCAGCCAGTCGAGGACATGCTTTTATAAGGATATTCTACGCTTATGCTCAACCCAAATATTTGAACTTTAAAGCACGTGCGTATCTGACATACGCGCGAGTGAATATTTAATTTGGGACACTGTTGGCACGTAATTGACTTGTTATCGAAACTGAGCAGGAAGCAGTATTTTTCTGAAATTTTTTACTGTTCACTTAGAAACGAGCCAGCACAAAATGGGCTTTTGCTTACGCACGTACCATGCGTGCTGACATATCAAATATTTAAATTGCAGCGTTGCCGTTACCCTAAACTGGGCTAGGCAAGGAAGTTGAAATTGTTTGTAATACTACCTAATTCTGTGGGGCACGGGAAGTTTAATGGCAGCTTGCACATGCGCTAACGTCTGGCGTAGAGATACGGCAAATATCGGTTTTGGAAAAACGCTTGATCGCACCGATTACCGTGGTGCGCGTTACTACTTTGTTTGTATTTTGAAAAAGTACTGTGCGGTTCGAAAGGCTCCGCTGGCCTAAACCACATAAAGTTTTTTTTTGAGATTTTATCGATCTTCTTCGTGCCGTGAAACTTGCTGTAGGGTAGCACAAAAAACATTTCAGGCCACGGGCATAAGAAAGAGTTTGGTCCAGCAATGATACTCTATTATTTGGCATCCGCTTTCCGAACGCTTTATCCACGACTTGATGATGATTTTGTTGATAAATTAAATTACTATTATACGACTACGATATGTAAGTTTTGAATGATGAAGAAAATCTAAAACAGCAATTTTGGCAGGTATGACTGAATTAAATGTACTGCATATCCACTACATGCTTATTTGGTCATGACTGTTTGGTCTTAATCCCAAAAATGCTGGAATTAAAGTCAAAGTTCTAACTGAGAAACTCATTTTAACATCAATCGGTTATTCTTTTAAGTGAATATTGCAATTTAAAATTCGATGTTGATTAGCAAGCTTATGGTGATTTTAAGATTTTGTCAGATAGGCACAGTTTCACTTACTATCCACAAGTGATTGAGCTGAGTGATCTAGAAAACTGATTAGCTGCATCAGGAATGCAAAATTATTGTGTGTGTTTTCGGTGCTGCAATAGTTAGCAAAAACAAATTGTGGCGATCCATAGTTTTTTTGTCCAGGTATTTCAACCAGCAATTAAGCAAGCTTAGAGACAAAATTTTTCCAGTAACATCCTCTGACCCAATGCAGTCTTTATTTTTACACTCTCCAAGTGTGAACGCGTGAAAGTTTTGGCGAGAAAATTGTTATTTTAGAAGCCGGTTAGCCTAGGAAGCTGAAATCCTAAGGTGATTTTTTCTGTTCAGGGATTCCATTTTAAACCCAGCTCCTGAGTATACTTGGGTCTCACGTACGGATAGGTAAAAGTTTTTTGCTGAAGATTTGGTAACTGGGGAGCCAGAAAGGGCAGGAAGCTGAAATTTTAAGAGAATTTAGTTTGTCTATGTGTAATGTGAAGATTTCAAACTCTCGAGTGCGCCTAATTCTAACATACGAGAAATTTTAGTCGGCTTCAAGAATCGTGCAAAAGCGCATGACCGCACTGGCAAGCCTAGTTCGTTACTATCCGGGGTTCTGTAAATCAAGGGCTAAATTTCTGCTAGTGTTTTCATTCTCCGGATTTTTAGTAGTCTCATTTCCCAGTCGTTTAATTTCAGTCTTCATATGTTTGTGTCTTTTGGGTTGCATGTCTTGAAAATAGAGTTACTTCATACCTTAATGTTTACTATTTTGCTTCTGAAAAAAATTTGCAGTTAAGCATTTGGTCTGGTTTTAAAGTTTAGCTAGATCAACAAATAAAAAATAATTTCAGTGGCTTCATTTGCACTTCTCGTTTCTGCGAAGCAATATGTCGGTAAGTTGTAATTTTCCGTATTTTTGCTAGACGAATATGTTTTTGCGTGGATTTATCAAAAACCATTAAACAGTGTCCTAAAAAGTACATTTTCCTCAAGCGCTATTATTTACGCAAATAATGATAATCACAAAATAGAGATTACTTTCTGATAATGCTGCCGGTACTGCCTCTTGCTGGAATTTTTCAAGAAATAAATGTAGCTGAATTTTACTTTCTAATTTGCCACATTTATTACTGCCATTAACCAACAGGAGAAATCAATGATAAGTGAAGTCGTGAGGTTTTTCCAGAATGGGCGTGATTTTGCACTGGACTACTTGGCCACCATTTTGTCATTTACTGATAACATTTCAAGCAATGTCTAGGCTTGAATTTGTCTGGATGTTGCTACTCTTTTTCTGCATTCCTTCAAGTTATAGGATTTCCCATACAGTGCTGGGTTCCTGCAACTTTCACGGATGCTATGGAACAGTACACGGAAAATTATTGCTGGGTGCAAAATACTTATTGGGTGCCAATGCAAGTGAGCATTTTTTACCGAGTTCTCAAAAACGAATGCATAATTTGAAGTGATTATGCATTTCTGTGTTAGCTGACGCTGCAAGCATACGAGTTTACCATTTGGTACGAGTTTACCAGCACACGAGTTTACCAGTTTACCATTTGATCAGAATGGCACACCTCCCTGCCTGCTCGGAACAGATTTAAAACATTACAGAACAGATGAGAAAAAATTGAGAGTGGACTAGAGAAACACTTGAGCTAATTAATATCCATGCTTTTATTCATTTATTTAATTAGCTGACTGTGAACTGATCACTGACTTATGCTGTCATGCGGAAAAGCACTACTGATTGGTTCAAAGGTGTTACGAAAGTACTTCCCCCACATCTTTATTTGACTTGTTTTTTTTTTTTTTGATCTTTCCTTATTTTGCAGAATTTTGTTTTCTTCCCAATCCTTTTCATTTATCAAGTAGTAACAATAAATATGACAGTGATTAATTGCATCGAATTCCAACATCGTATGCAATATTCATACGTGCATGCTACGGCCAGTTTCAAGCTGTTCCACTTTTTCGTTCCAGGAAGATATCCCTCGTGAAATTTATTCGAGGCGAAATCGACAGATTGGTTATTATCAGTGGGTGCCATTTATTCTAGCAATTGAAGCATTGCTTTTTTACGTGCCTTGTATATTGTGGAGAGGGATGCTGTACTGGCACTCAGGTATTCCAGTTTATTGCCTTTCGACGATGTGTGTGCAATGTTCGCGCTGTGCTTCACCGCTGTCTGCTTGAATGAAAGTTAAATTATGTTGAGTAATATTTGAGGCATAAAAAAATTTGTTGTGAGAAATCGCTGTATTCACTAGAGCTGTCAGTTGTGTACTCCATTCACCCAAATCACATTAAAAGATTTCCCAAGGGAGCTGATAGCATGACATGTCCCTGCATATCCGACAAAAAAACGAGTATTTTCAGACCTGATGCTCATAAAAACAGCTCATTTGAGTGCTCTAGCTTGCTTCAAATCAGAAATCTAACCGGCTTGGTTCTGTCCGTCTTAAATCCTCAGTAAATTTCGTGTGAAATTGTTAACAATTTGAACGGTTCGATTTAGGAATTAATTTACAAGGGCTCGTCCAGATGGCGTGTGATGCAAGACTAATGGATACTGATGTTAAAAGCCGTACAGTTTATACGATGGCTCGGCACATGGAGGATGAAGTACAAGTATCTTTCAAAACAAACAAATTGTTTTCTTGTGAACTTAATAGCAATTTCTGCAGAATTTCAGCTGTGTTCTTTTAAAATTTCGCTTGATTCTAAAAGTGTTCATTTGCTAGTCAAATAACGACACCCCTTTCATTGTATGGCAGTACCACGCATTAAAGAAATTTGAATACCTACTGGTATTCAAATTTCTTGAGCTTTCCTCGTTGCTGAATTGAAAGTGGGTGACAAAGTTCGCTAGCTTTCTAACACACACACACA